CTCTGGGGGGTGATTTCTCACTTTCTGTCTCTCTGTCTCTCTCTGTCTGTCTGGCGAGCGCACGCGCCGTATAGTGAAAAACCTCTCAAAAAAAAAAAAAGTTAATGGAAAAATGGAATTCAAGTACAAATTTCCAGGCAAAAAATAAAATCCATGTATAGGTAGTCTTTTCATAAGATACATTTCCTATGAAGAAAGTTACTTATATAAACATTATTTGATCTTCCTTCAGTAATACAACTTAACACTTGAAAGGCTTATAAGAAAAAGAGATACTAAGTTTTCTTCACCTTCTGCAATCATTTTCTAAATTCTTACTCTATTACACTGCTTCAGTGGTTTTTAAAAAAAAAAAAACTTTTCCACTGCTTCAGTGGTTTTTAAAAAAAAAAAAAAAAAGATTTTTCCTACAAACAAATAAAAGTACCTTTTGGAAAAGGCCAGGTTGTTAAAAAGCCCAACATTCCCTCCATATGAAATCCAAATACGTCCCTGCCTATAACCCCTGCTTTACCCAGTGACTCACAGCCCAGCTCAGGTTCTTCTCATACCTGCAACACTTTCCCTCCTTTCTGGTTGAATCCCGAGCTTTCCCATCAAGATTCAACTAGATCACTGGCTCTATGAAGCCCTTCCTGACTATCCTAGTCTACAGATATCTACTCCGAAGAACACGTGCAGCACAGATGAGCAGGCAGGCCATTAACACAGCAACACACTCGAGACGTAATTTGCCTTTTAATGTACAGGACTGTTTCCAACTCATCAGGTCAGGTGCAGTTTCTTAGCCACAAATTAACATGGAAAAACTGGGCAAACCTTCTTGAAAAGCCAGCGCAGGAGCGGTATGAGTAGTTCCGTTCTTTCCTTGGGTTAACTTTGACCTGAAATGAGTTTCTATTTTGGGAGAATAGGTATGTATCAGCAGAATGAGGCCCACGGCCCTTGCCCCTTACAAATTCTGGATGGCACTGAGGCTTCAGGAAGTTCCTCGAGTTTTCTTGCTCCCACCCAGGCAGGGGGGGCTTATGTCCAACTGGGGATTCTCCCTCCACTGGGCGGGGGTCCGCGCCTGGATGGCCAGTGCGTGGACTGGCCCAGCCAGCTCCTCCGACAGAGCCGCGTGGACCAAACGGTGCCGTTGCAGAGGGCTCAGTCCCTCGAAACGAGCGCTCACCACCGCCACGCGAAAATGTGTCTCGCTGCCTGGTGGGACCGCATGGCCGCTGCTCTCATTGCGCAGCTCTAGCACCTCGGGGCTCAGGGCCTGTTCCAACTTCGCACGAATGGTGGCCTCGACCGGACCGATGATCCCGGATCCCGTGCTGCCGCGGGACAAACAGACGCGGCCAGACATGGAGACCAGGCGCTGGAGCAACAGCCCACTCTTCATTGGCTACAGCAGAAACAACGCCAGGAATGAGGAGCAGGGCCTCTCGCTCGGTGAGAGACCCGCCCCGCGGTCTTCGCAGCCCCGAACCCCGACCTCTACACCCAGCTCCTGCAGGGGGCCCGCCTCGACGTCAGGAAGGGAGACCTGAGACACCGCCCCTTTTCTCTGTGTGACGTCGGGGGGATGTGGCCTGCAGCTGAGGGCAGTGGACGCGCGGGTGCGATTAGAGCCAGACGCGTTAGTTACTAAGGTGATTTGCAAGGAACCGGCCAGAGGCCGCAAAAATAAAGAGTATGCGGTAACTTCGAGCCGATGTCTCTGTGCCCCGTCCGAGCCCCCCCACCAGGCGCCCTTTCTACCTGCGGCTCAGCCTCGGCTGCTGCAGTTCCCGCTCAGGGCTCGGCCTCCTGACGTCCAAGGCACGCTGGGAAATGCAGTCCTCCCTGCGCGTTAGGCCGGGCAGGCGCCACGTGCTGCCCCGAGAGCTCACGGGAACTGTAGTCTCTGGTTCCCCCGACTTATGTCAAGAACCAAGGCGAAGCAAGAAACGAGGAATTTCCTGCTCACTTGGGGTTCAGATTATTCGATCTATTTTATTGCAGTAGATTTTGTAGATTAGTCCAACTCCTTTATTTTACATACAAGAAAATGAAATCCGTTCCATTTACCGAATATTGAGCGCCAAAGTAGTGCTGGAGGCTGGGGAGCAAAGGCAGTTCCTGTCCTCAAGGAATTTATAGAACATTAGAGAAGATGGAAAGGTGAGCAGACAATTGCAATATCCTGTGCTAAGGGCCCTGAGGCGACTAAGCACAGGATGCAAAGGAGGCATGTCACCCAGTCTTGGGGTGGGGTGGGGGTGACAGAGAGAAAGGGAAAAGGTTCAGAAAAGACAGGGACCAGCAGCGTAATGGCTATGTGGCTGAACTCCCATGTAGTTGACCCCGGTTCGAGTCCTGGACCCGGTGGCTTAAACTCATGCTGTCCCTCATGCTTGGGCTGTGGTAGTTGGACGTGCAGGAGAGAGAGAGAACCTTGAGGGAGCTGTTCCTTCTGGTGTCGATAGGGTATAGTTAGGGATGGTCAGAACTCAGGATTCAGAGATGATGGTGATGACCAGTGTACAGTGAGCTGGGAGAAGAGACAGGGATAAGACCATGTTAGGCCTTGTAGGCCTGAGTTGACATTGTCTTTGGAGTAAATCGAAGCTAGAGAAGTTTCTTTTCTTTTTTTTTTAATTTTTATTTTTTTAGGTTTTTGCTATAGGGTAGGTGTGCTCTCCAGAGACAGAGAGATGGAGAGTGAGAAATCACTCCCTGAGGGGATGGCCATGCCACAATCTCATCTCTCAGGATTTGGGGCATGCATATGTGTGCCCAGCGTGGTTTTCAAGCTGCCGGTCCGCAACTTGAACCACACAGTCAGCTATTAGCCACCATGCCATCTGCTGGCCCAGCTAATGAAGTTTTTTAAAAAATTATTTACTCAATTTTATTTATTCATTCATTTTAATTTGGCCAGAGAGAGACATAGAGAGAGGAAAAGAGAGAAAGCAAGTCACCAGTTCTGGGACTCAAACCGTGGTTGGCCATGTGGTAGTGTCCAGTGCCTCAACCACCACACCACTCACTGGCCCTGTGGCTCCAGTCCCGGACACAGCAGCTTGAAACTCATGTCATGCGTGCATGTATGCATGGCCAAGATCCCGAGAGGAGACTGGAGGAGAAGGGTTTGCGGCATGGCCACCCCCCCCCCCATGTAAAACCTCTTTTTTTTTTTTTTTTTGCAATAAGTTGCGTGCACTCGACAGAGAGACAGAAAGCGAGGAATGACCCCAATCTCCTATAATACCCTTATCCAACTCAAGAAATCTAACGTATTACTTACAACATTTTCTCCAGCCTTTTAGAAAAAAACATAAGCTTTTAGGAAAATTGCAAGATCAGTACAGTGAGCATCCCATTTGTCTACTCTTCACCTAGATTCACTGATAATAACATTTTGCTAGCTTCTTTTGTATCTCTCTTTGAAATATGTGTGCATAAAACAAACAATAAAATAATAATTACATACATATATATTTTGCCAGAGGATATGTGTGCTCCACAGAGACAGAGAGACAGGGAGCGAGCAGGAGAGGGAGAAAGCACTCCCACCATGCCGTGGGGTATGGTCATGCCACAACCCTTTTCTATTTCTTTGTTCTGCTGGGATTTGGGGCATGCACACACACGTGTCTAGCATGCCATTCAAGTGGCCGGCTGGGACTTAAAGAGCGTAGTTGGCCACGTGGGATCTTGTTCTCTTACCCACTAGGTATGGTCCAGCCCAATAATAATTTTTTGCTGAATCACTTTAGTTAAGTGAAAATTCTTTATATTTCAACATATAATTCTTAAGAACAAGGATATTTTCTTTCATAACCATGATATCATTACCACCTCCAACACATTTAGCACTCATACAATACGACTACCTACTATACAGGTGATATTCAAATCTCTCCAGTTGTTTCCTTTGTGTCTGCTATGGTTTGAATGTGTTCCTTCCAAAATTCATGTTGAAACTTAGTCTCCAGGGTGGTAGTATTAAGAGGTGGAGCCTTGGGGCCAGCAGATGGCATGGTGGTTAAGGCACTGGACTCCCATGTGGTCGAACATGGTTTGAGTCCTGGACCTGGCAACTTGCTTTCTTGCTTTTCTTCTCTCTCTCTCTCTCTCTGGTCAAAATTAAAAATAAATAATAAATAAATAAATAATTATTTTTTTTTAAAAAAGAGGTGGAGGCTTTAGGAGGTGATTAGTCCTTATAAAAGGGCTTCAAGATGTGAGCGTGCCCCCTTTTCCCTTTGGCCTTGTAAGGACATCTGATGATACCATCTCTGAAGCACTAGCCTTAACAGACAGCAAGCAGATCTGTCAGCACCTTGACCTTAGACTTCTTAGCTTCCAGAACTGTTGGAAAGTAAATGTCTGTTCTTTATAAATCACCCAATCTGTGATACTTTGTTATAGCAGCAAAAATGGATTATCACAGTGTTTTTATGTTTAAATTTTGAAATGCAATCAGGACCATGTATTGGATCTAGCCAACTTTCATTTATTTATTTATTTATTTGCTATAGGGCACGTGCGCTTGCAAGAAAGACTGAGAAAGACAAACAGAAAGTGAGAAATCACCCCCCCCGGGGGGATGGCCACGCCACAATCCCTTCTCCTCCATTCTCCTCTTGGGATCTTGGGCATGCATGCACACGCGCCTGGCGTGAGTTTAAGCCACCAGGGCCGGGACTCGAACCGCGGTTGACTACATGGGAGTCTAGCAACATAGCTGTTACACCAACTGCTGGTCCCGTATCTAGCCAACTTTAAATCTGTATTTTGCAAAGATAAATGGCTGTAGGGTGGAGAATGGATTGTAGAGACAAGAATACAACAGGGAGACCAGCTGGGAGGTTACTGTAGCTATCTAGGTGAGAGAAGATGAGGATTTGGGCCAAGGTGGTGGTGAGGGTGGAGACAGGAAGAAACTGTGGCTACAATATATCATGATAGTAAAATCCACAGAATGTGGTAATGGGTTGGTTATGGGAGGGTGCTATGGTTTGAATGTGTCCTCCCAAAACTCACATGTTGAAATTTGGAATCGACAAATTGTGTTTTCTTCCTCTGCCTGACTCTCTGGTGAGTGTATGTGCCCTCTGGCAAAATTAAAAAAAAAAGATGAAGACTTAATCTGATTATGATATTGAAAGGTAGAGTCTTGAGGAGGTGATTAGATCATGTACAAATCAAGACTGAATCCTGGTAGGTTTATGAGGGAAGGGAATGAGACAATCACAGACACTAACATATGCTCACTCTTGCCCTCACCATGTGATGCCCTGCGTTGCCTCAGCACTCTGCAGAGGTCCCCACAAGAGAACTCTCACCAGATGCAGCCCCTAGACCTCACACCTCCAAAACCACATGCTAAATAAACCTTCATTCTTTTTTTCAAGAGAGATTTTTGCTATGAGGTGCATGTGCTCTCTGGGGAGACAGAGAGACAGGAAGCGAGAAATCACCTCCCAAGGGGGATGGCCATGCTGCAATCCCTTTTCCTCCATTCTCCCCCTTGGGATTTTGGGTACGCATGCACAGACAGCCAGAGTGAGTTTTGAGCCTCCAGGTCTGAGACTGAAACCGTAGTCTGCCAATTTGGCATAGGGCAGGTGCCACCACACCCAGGTCTGCCAATTTGGGAGTCCAGCAACATCACCATTACACCATGTACTGGTCCCAAAACCTTTATTTTTAAAGTGCCCAGTGTATTCAGTTGTTAGCAACTGAAAAAAATGAACTCAAACAGAGGAGAAATGTCAAGATTTAATCACCAGGTTTGTACATCTGAAGTTACAAAAATACTACAAATAATTCTTCTATATCTTTCACCTTGATACTCAAACTATCCAAATATTAACATTTTACCATATTTATTTCATGTATCTATGTGTACATGAAATAAATATGGTGTACACATGTTTATTTCTAGAAGGTGCATGCGCTAGGCAGTGAGAGGAGAGAGCACCCCTCGAAGGGGTATGGTCATGCTGCAATTGCTTCTCCGTTTCTCCATCCTCTCAGGATTTGAAGTACGCATTCAAATGTGCCTGACATGTTCTTTCAAGCTACTGGGACTAGGATTCGAACTGCAGTCAGCCATTTGGGATCCGGCGCTCTTCACCACTGCACTACAGAGCTGACACTATACAGACAGTAATTTTCAGAGAGAAAGCCCATTTACCTCTAACCAGTATGTTGGTAATTTTGTGTGTCAATTTGAAGAGCCGTGAGTGCCAAGATATTTAGTCAAACATTATTCTGGGTGAGTCTGTAATTGTTTTGAATGAGATTCACAATTTAAATTTGTAGGCCGAGTAAAGCAAATTGCCCTCTCTAATGTGGGAATAGAACAAAAAGGCTCGCCCTCTCCCGAGAAAGACTTCTTGCCGTCTGACTGCCTTCAGAATGGAACATTGGCTTTTTTTGGCCTTGTACTTACTCAGACTGAAACATCAACGCCTCCTGGATCAGCCTTTGGACTAGAAATGCACCAATGGTTCTAAGGCCTGTGGACTTGGGCTGGAAATAATCACGCCATCTGTTCTCTTAGGTCTTCACCTTGACAATTCACCCCGAAGAACTTGGGGATCTTGGGACTTGTTAGCCTCCATAATCAAAGGGTCAAATCCTTATAATAAAATAAATCTATCCATCTCTCCTATTAGTTCTGTTTTTCTAGAGAACCCTAATTAATATATATTTACTAATGTCTATTAACAGAACAACAACAAAAGACATTTTCTCCCATAACTCAAACTCTGGAAATTAACATAGGAACAGTAGTATGATGATCTAATCTACAGACCTTAGTCCAAATTTTTGTATTGCTCCACTAATGTCCTAGATGTAAAGTGAAAAAGAAA